CCCAGCATGAGCAACTTAGAAAGACTGTCAAAAAAGTAAGAAATGCTTGGGGCTGCAGCTTTGTAGGAAAGCCCTGGGCTCAATTCCCGGTAACACCACACACACACACACACACACACACACACACACACCACAGATTTATTTAGCCATTTCCTGGCTGTTAATATTTTTAATTTGTCCTTTTTAAAAAGGCAGAGTTGTAAATATTTTTGCAAACCCAGTGTTTCCTTAGATTTTTGTTTTTTTTTGAGATTTGCTCCCCAAGGCAGATTTTCTAAAATGAGGGGTAGAATGAGTTCTATAGTCCATATAGTATATGTTGTCACTTTCTTTCATTCTTTTAGCTTTGGTTTCTAAAAGAATCTATTATTATGATTTAATATGCAGGTAATATATGGAGCTATTTTAATTTGCAATTCTCTCATTCTTATGGAAGCTAAACACTTTCCCAAGTGTTTCTTCACTGTTTGTGTGTTCCTCTGTGTAAACCAACCAACTGTTCCTGGTCTTTAAATCAGCTGCCCAGCCAGACCTGACTATTGCCTGCAGAGGTTATGTGAGTTTCCCTTACGTTCGTGATATTATGTATGTATCGGTTGCATTTATTACAGTCATCACCTGCTGTTATCCTTTTGGCTTTCCCAATTTGGGATCGTTTTCTGTTCCCCATCTTGTGGTTTGTGTTCATGCTTGCACTGAACTGTTTCGCGCAGCCTGAATTTACCGACCTTAGCATTTATTAGCAACTCCTTTTGTTACTTATTGTCAGGAAAGCCTTTTTAAAAAGGGTGTGAGTAACACTGTCTTATTTCATATGTGTATACATTTGTGTGTATACACATATACACATCGGATTTAACTCAAATTAATTCTTTTTTTTTTCAAATTAATTCTTTTCAAAGTGAGTTATCAATCTAAGCCTCAGACACTAAGGTTAGTTTGCCCGTATTGACAGAAACTTTCCCCCAAATATACATCAAATAATTGTATATCCCTTTGTTTATAATAAATTGAATGTGTATTGACTCAGGGATGTTCTATTGTATCCGTTAGGCCTATCTTTCTGGCATTATCCCAGCCAGCAGATCACGAAATGTGGGAAGCCAGCCATGGCCCACTGGCTTTTTGAAAGATAACATTTGTTCCTTTTTAAGGACTGCACGTGTTAAACTTGTTTTTGACCCTGCACGGGAGAAACTCGGACAGCCAAAGATCTGTAGGAGTCAGGTGCTTCCTGTTAAAGATCTGACGTTATCTGTAGGAGTCAGGTGTTGTAACTCCATTTTGTTAAGTTCCTCCACCTATTTGGGAATCATGATTATTAGTTGCAAGTGTTGTTAATTTGTTTTTCTTGAGCCTGCTTTCTCTTTCCCGTGTGAACCCTCGTTCCCGTGGAGCGGGTGTTGAGGTTACTATGGTAATCCTAGCCCATAATAGTTCGGTCTTTTCCTTTAAAAGGCTGATGCCTGCCTGCAATAAACGTCGCCTTGATCAGACTCTTGTCTTGGCGTCCTTCCTTTCTGTCTGCCCCATCTCCACCCTGCTGCTCTTTCAAGTTTGAGACACTGCTGGACAGTGCTCTGCGTTGCCGGCTCGCTACAACGAAATCCAACAATATACAAAAGAGAGTATTATTTTATCATAGCAACACTAAGTTGGTTTAACATTTGAAATTCAATCAACAAACTAAAAACAAAAAAGTATAATTTTACAATAGCTGCAGGAAAGCATTTAACAAAAATTCAACATCACTTCCTGATAAAAACTCAGAACATTACAAATAGATGTGAATTTCCCCAATCTGATGGGGCATCCTTGAAAAACATAGCTACTTTGAAACTAAATCGCGAAAGATTGAAAGCTTTTCCTGTAAGATCATGTACAGCACAAGGATATTCACTCTGGAAAGGAAAAAGGGGAAGATGTTTGCATTAAATGTGAACAAGTAAAGCTTCCTTTAGAGATGCCATGGCTGTCTATACAGAAAATCCGTGAAAATGTTACTAGAATAAATGAGCTTGGCCAGGTTGTGGAATACAAGATAAATATACAAAGCCCACGTACCTGCAAAAAAGCAATCAAATTAAAATTAATAAAACAACGTGAAGGGGCTAGGGATGCTGCTTGGTGGCAGGGAGCTTGCCTGGCAGGTGTGAGGCCCTCTGTTTAAATCCCAGAACAACACAAATCAATACAACGACAATAAAATAATATTACAGCAGCAAAAATGATGCTTGCAGATAATTCTGTCGAGATGTGCCAGGATCTATACACTGAAAACTACAAAATACTGCTGATGGAAAGCAAAGAGGACCTGTAGAAGTTGAGAGGTGTTTCTTACTCAGGGATTGGGTTCAATATGGCTATGATATCCATTCTCCCCAAACGTATAGACAACCAAGCAATCCCCACCAAAGCAAGTTTGTAGTAAGAGAGGCACTAAATCTAAAATGTATGCCAAAATACAAAACAACTAGAAAAGCCAAAACACCTCTGAAAAAGAATTTAATTGCAGCATTCACACCACCTGATTTGAAGTCCAATGAGCAGGACATTGTAGTAGTAATGTAAAAAATAGACAAATTGATGAATAGGACATAATACAAAGTCCAGAGATAGATTTATGCATTGACAAAATGACTTTCGACAAAGAATCAAAAGCAATTCAACGGAGAGAAGGTAGTCACTTCACCGCAGGATGCTGAAATAATTAGACACCAATATTAAAAGTGAACAATAAAAAGTTGTCATATATAAAAGTTAAGTCACAATCAGTAGTTGCCCTATGTGTAAAACATAAAACTATAAAACATTCAGAATAAAATATGGAAAACCTTTATGATCTTAGATTAGGGAAAGAAATATGGTACCACAAAGTATAATCCATAAAAATTTGATAAATTCGATTTCCTCAAAATTAAAAACTTCTACTCTTCCTAAGATACTGTTAGGAAGCCAGGCATGGTGGTGCACGCCTGTAATCTCAGCACTGGGGAGGCTGACGCAGGAGGATCACCACAAGTTCAAGGCCAGCCTGGGCTACATAGTGAGTTCAAAGCCAGCCTGAACTACAATAGGGAGATCCTGTCTCAATAAAACAAACAAACAAACAAACAAAAGATACTATTAGGGGATAGAAAAGACAAGCCACACAATGGGAGCAGAGGACTTTGTGAAACAAACATTTGATAAAGATATGTATCCAGAATATATAAGAACATTCAAAACTCAGTAATAATCACCTAATAATAAATAAGCAATACAGTTAGACACTTCACCAAAGCTCACTGCAGATAAGCACATGGAAAGGCTCATAATCATCGGCCGTGGAGACTGTAAAGTAAAACCACGGTGAGACTCCCAGAAAGTTTGCACAGTCAGGCTTTGACAAGGGTGGAGAGGAAATGCAACTCCGACACACTGCTGGAGGGAATGTAGCTGCGCAAAGACTGGTTCAGGAATGTTCCTGGCTGCTTCAGTTTTAAGAAGGAAAAACCGGAAGCGTTTGTGAGTAAACAAGAATTTGGTAAATGGAATACTACTCAGCATTGAGGATGAGCGATTGTTACATGACCCCCCCAAAAAAATCACGCAGGCCTGTAAAAATCATTACGCTGAGTGAAAGAAGTTGGACACAATCAAGTTCAAATTGTGTGATTCCATTTACATACCACTCTGGAAAATGCAAATACACTGAAACCCGCCTGTGTTTGGCCTCGGGCTGACCAGCAGCTTGGCGCTGTGTCCCAGTGTCCAGCCCGGGTGTGTGTGGAGGGAGGGAAGGGAGCGCATTGAGGTGTTGTAGCAAACTGAATCCGAGAAGGGAAGACACCTGAGGTGGGGGGCGTGGCAGGAGGCAGTGTACACTTTTTTTTTATGCCCGCAGATCTGACTGGGATCCCTCCCAAAGAAGTCAGGTTCAGAATGTGGGGGAGGAGGGAACACAGTTGTCTAGGGG